ACTAATGAAGTTGAGACAAAGTTCCCGCTAACATTTATCTAGATAGCTAATTAATCTAGCACTAACGTTAACTAACCACGTTAGCTAGCTAGCAACCTTCTAAATCTAAACTTCGTAGATGTAGCTATATCTACAAACAAAGATCTCGACCATTCACAGCCGATATAACACGTTTGGCCACCAGCTAACACCAAATTACTTACCTTTCGATGCTGCGCAATTCCAACTGTCCTTGCACCGTCGGCAATTAGATGAAATGGACGTTTCAAGTTAAAACCGGAATCTCAATCAACACTGCTCAGTGCCACCGCCAAACCTCTCACCTGGGAGTTATATTAGCACAGAGGGTGTAAAAACAACTTAAATCAACACCTCATAACACTAAAAATTTAACACTAAGAAAATGAACACTTGTTAACACTTTCCAATTTGCAGTGTACTGTAGGTTTTAAATCAACTAGTACATGTTATTGATATAGCTATGACCCCCCCCCCCTTATATCTTAATGTATTGAAATGAACAAAGTTGGCAGATTATTATCAATGATTTATCAACAGCTGTAACAAGTTGTCTGTCCAGTGTAGGACATCCTCACTGTTACACTAGTTTATAGAAAGACCCATAAGGGTTCTATTCAATCTGTAAAGCTGAAGCGTTACAGATTCCGCGATAGATATTTAAAGGTAATTTCAGATTGAGCTGACATATGGAGCGTTTACCATGAATGCAGTCGTCGCTAAAGCAGGAACATTGCCTTTAAATTTCAATCACGCTGTAAAGCTGAACTTCTGCAATGCAGATTTAATAGAGGCCTAAGTTACTAAGAAATGGGTATGTGGGGTAATGGAGGAGATGGTGTCAGTGTGTGAGCCTCAGGTGGACAGCTTAAACGAGGCCACCAGAGGAACACGAACATGCTCCTGGAAGTGGATGAGGGATTGGATTGGATTTTGGGACACAACAGACCCCTTCTAACGGACCTCTTCTGGTGTGGCGGTGTGTAGAGCAAGCACGCCCCCTCTCTTCCACATCCTACTCTTCTTCAGTGATTAGCCAATCCTTGTCTAAGTTTTGGGCAAGAGTTCTTAAAAAATATGGCCATTTAGCAGATGCTTTTAACGTTATATTTCCTCTGGAAAAAAAGCACAAGCAAACTTGGTGCGAACACTTTAGTGTTTTTGTGTGTGTATGTTTGGCCCCAGGAAATGTGGAATTATGTCTTTAAGACCTACATAAAACAATGTCCGCTGTTATGTTGAGACTCGTCACCCTACGACCTTGCATTGGAATAGGCTTCCCTGGGGGACCCTAAAAGACGCACAGTCACTCAGCCGGGACTAATCGAAGAGGAGAGGAAAAACACAACCGCATCTAAATAATTAACAGCCTGCATATATGAGGACCCTTGAGAGGCTGTCAGAAATGACTGTATTCTGAACATCTGTCTTTCTCCCTCTCCCTCTTACTCGGTCATCCCTGTAGGCTTAGCTTTCCTGATCCATCTCTCCGTCTAAAAATATGGGTTTCCAAGTCTGTCCTGGAAGTCCTGTGTATTTTCCTAACCCTTAGTTAACCGTCTTCAAGTGGTCTGATATCCACACCATTAGTCAATTAATTGACCAATTTAACATAATTACGTGAGGACTGGAACACACCTGCTCACAAGGACAGATGCTGAGACATTCTGCTTTACCACAGAAAATAGACTAAATTCATGTTGCCTGCAACACAGTTAGTAGGAGAAAAGCCCATTAACTTAAGAAGTTGAGGAACAAGAGCCTTGGAAAGTGTTAACCACAGCACAGGGTTGGCGCAGAAAACTGGGTGTAAGAGTTTTCGGGGACACTCTGGAGGCCATGGGAGAGGAGGTTTGGACAGACAAGGTCGGGGGTCAGCGGAAGACAAGCGAGCAGTCCCGCAGAATCTGCTGAGCCACACACTTCTCCAGTCACCTCTGCTCCCGGCCATCCATCCCATGATTACGCTCCCATTCTGTCCCCTTCTCCTCCTCCAGTCTCACAACGACTCGGTCACACAGTGTTCTACACTTGGCTGTACTTGGGACTATGACAGAAATGTGTCGCATGAATGAAGTTGGTCTGGGACTTGAACATCTAGTTCTGATGGGAAAGTCTCTGTTTAGAAAATAGCTATCATACAGTTTGACCATACATGTACTGAAACAGGATGGGCCCTTCAGTTATATCTATGTTCTGGCTTCAGAAAGTTTGCCACTTCTTTGGACATGACATTTCAAGGCAGGAAAGAACATCTGTCTTGACAAATTAGTGCTCTATGGAAAGGGAATACAGTAAGCACTGTTCTTGTTAAGTCAACGCTAAGTGACATAACACAGAGGGAGACACTATTTTAGAAAGGACAGTAATGGATGTTTAGGGCACCATGCAATTACATACAAACAGACAGACATACAGACAGAAGGCAGCCGTCTGTCAGAGTCCCTGCGTGTGGTTGGTATCTACAGTATTACTATGCCATTTGAGAAAATCTAAGTCTAACAGGCCCCAATTAGGTAGGAGATTAAATTAAATGAAACATTTTGCCATCTCACCAGGCCTTTAAAGAAACAGAGATTTGCATGGCCCTTAGCAATGGATCACCAAGAGCTGTGTGTATTGGGGCATTTAATCTGACATTCATTTCCCTCCGCCGTTGATAAATACATTAAAATTTTTATTAAAGTGCCACCCTTAAAAACAACTTACAGCCTACTTTTCATTTAATGCGAACTACAGTGGGAATACGTTGCATACCCGATTTTCCTGGTAATTAGTGAATAAAAACGATGTGGATGACTGCCAAGAAACACAAGAAAAGGGTCACAAGCAAAGTGTTACAAACAACATTTTGGTTGATATTTCATCACAACTTTTTACCCATTGTTACTGATTAGACTTCCATATATAGCAACCAGAAAGTTCAAATTATTAGCATGTTATTATGGCCGAAAACCTGGCAATCTCCATAAAGTAATGTGCCTTCAAAGTATTTTATGAATGCTTTTCATTATTTTATGTGCATCAATAGAGAAAAATAGCAATGGAACTGAGGCTTACGAGTGTTTTGACGATGCATCTTTCCTACAACGGCCGGAAGCTGTAACAAGCGTTTCCCAAAAACACCACGCAGAGAGAATGGTCGCTACGTGCATCGTTGGAGCATGTGTCGATACTGATACAGATTGAAAGGCAGCGCTGCTCTCAGGTCAGCTTTCACCATTCAAATACTTTCACAGAGAGCGAGTGTCTTTGTCAGAGAGCGATAAACACAATGACAGACGTAACAATCCAGAGGTGCAAATTAGAGCCATCAAAAAGTTCAAAATATTACTCAAAAGCGTCAAAAAAAATCTGAGAATCAAGTTATTGGTTTACCTCATTACATTTTCTATTGAATAATTTTGATAAAGCTTCTATTGTAATGTTGTAATATTTGTCTAGCACTGCAAAAGGCAAAGCCTTAAGGATAATAAAGGGTTTAGGGTTGCCTAGAGACTGACTAGTTTAACTCCCTACACCCATTGCTCAGTTATGAAAGGTTAAAGGAATCTCATACATTTTAAAGCTTTTGCATTGAAATAAACATACCAAACAAAAGTTGGATGTAATTATTTTATAACCTCTTCGAAGTCCTTCACAGTATTTACTGAAAATCTAAAAGTTAAAGTATTGCATTTTCTTTTCTCTACAAGTTTACACCATTCCTTGATGTTGAATATTTTTCATAATTTATTTAATTGTCCTTGTTTTTTTTACAGCTGGAGAACTCCAGAAGAATGGAAGTGTGCAAATCCATTGGACCCTTTCCACTTCAATTATGGTGGATAAATAATATGAATGGATTTTTATGAATGTGTGGAGGGATAAGAGTTGTTTCGTGGAGTTGCGTGACATGCATCAAATAGAGCGAAGAGGATTTGAAACAGAATTGGCATACTGGCAACATTGACAAACTAAAAACCCAGACAGAATGTAAATCCTCAACATCCAATAGCTTCAGCACTATTGACAAATTGTCCAAACAAACCATATCCTTTCAAGCACTTTCTGAAAATACCAGCAATTGTTTGAGTTTGTAATACAATGCATTCACCGCTACAAAGCCCCCATTTCAGAGTTTTGTAAATCAATACCATTACATAGGAGTTTTTTTTTTCTACAGTATAGATACTCTAATCAACACCGAAGGGTCATGTAGCTTCTGTCTATGCCCACTCTTAAAAGTATAAAGTCCTTTCTAAATCAAACCCACTGTTCCTGAACTATAAGAGTTACACTACTTCTCATTGCCCTGTATTCACCTTTAATGGAGGACCCGTTCCCCCTCCTTTAGTCAGGAATACACCCTGTAACTAAACAAGACTAATGTAATGTGTGGTAAAGACTACTACTTTTACTATTGGTTGCACAACGATCGAAAATCGAACTTGCATTGTTGCAGTTCAGAGATTCACATTGATGGGCTAGATACAGTACACTGGAATATACCACTTCCAGGCCCTCCCCCCCCCAGAAGGTTCATGGGAAATTGTGCAAGTCACATTTTGGTAGTAAAAAAAAAATGGTTCCTGTGAGTGGTAATAGCCTCACCAGAATTGTGCATTTAAATTGTTTTAGCAAGGTTTAAGTCACGATACAGGGCAGTTTTAAGACCTGACATTTTTACCTGCTGAAGTTCACCGGTTAAAAGGAAAACTCCACCCAAAAACGTTGGGTATTAGTTTCATTAGTACATTGTTGATATAGTATCAAAACATTATACATGTCAGCAATCAAGTTAAGATATAACAAAAACTACAGAATCAGGGAGTTGAGGAACTTCATTTTAGACCTGGGATACATATTACAAAAGCTCATGCTAGTCAATGAACAAAATGCACAACAAACGTAATCTAGATAGATTTTATTTTATCCAGAATGCATTTTTTAGCAGGAAAGTCAGTCCAGATGAGTAGGCCATCAGTGAAGAAGCTTTTCCTTTATGTTGAGAGGACCAACAGAAGCTTCTTGCGCCCACTGGAAACCTAAGAGCAGAAGACCATGTCTACATAGGGAGAACTAAGAAACAAACTTGACAAAAGCATTGTTTCTCAGTCAATTCCTGGGTGACTCAGTGGGTGCACTTTTTTGTTCCACCCCAGCACTGACCGCCAATTTAGCCAAAGGCTTAGGTGAATCAACTACGTAGGTATTGGAGTAAGACAAAAATGTGCACCCCAGAGAGTCATCCAGGAATGATTGAGAAACATTGGACTGAAGTGCACATGTACCTGGATCTGGTTCCCTTTTCATGCCACAGTCTGTGTCACAACAGCCACATGCCTGGTCTTTCCCATTGGCCTCATGCCATCTATGGAAAACAGAGTGTTGCATGTTGTACACAGTCGGTGCAAGTAAAGTGTGGTCCTCTGTAGCTCAATTGGTAGAGCATGGCGCTTGTAACGCCAGGGTAGTGGGTTCGATCCCCGGGACCACCCATACGTAAAAATGTATGCGCAAATGACTAAGTCGCTTTGGATAAAAGCATCTGCTAAATGACATTATTTAAAGTGCACAACCTGCATATATACCCAGACTTACCCATTCAAGAAGGAACAGGCCTTGTTCTCATGATCAATACGCGCTGAAGCTGTTGTGGCTTTCAGGAGGCAGGTAATGTATAGCTGTTGAAATTACATTTGTTGAAGCCTCGGAATTGGTACCACGTAATTAGTAGATGTGACACTCAAAGCTACGTCATGGTGGGTACAACAGCCATATTGGGAATACTATTCTTAATTTTTGATTGAAGCTCATCAACTGCCAGTTCTATAAATTGGGATAGCCAAGCTAATTTGCAGAAGACCTCAGGATTGACTACTCACCGATCCAGTGTTCACAACCTGAAACCTAAAGGCTTCTATCTGGAACCGGAGCTTGTCATCCATGGTGCGAGGTATGAACTGGGACCTGGAGCCTGTCAGCTTGGTGTCGACCAGACAACTGAAGGGCACAAAAAAACAAAAATTAGGCTACCTACACTGTTGAACCTCTGGAGGGATGCCATTCAAAATGGACGTTGATCTGAAGTGTGGGCAGGTGGAGGGAATGGGAAATGCCTTCCTTAGCAATATATTAAAGCAAATGATTAGTCCTTGAACTAGATCAAGTACCTTACAAAGGACACTCACCCACGGTTCTCGATGAAGGCATATCTTGGGACAGTGTTGATGTTTGGGATGACTGTGGCTACACAGCGGTCCACAAAGACTCGGAGGGGCACATGGTAGAACTGGACGACAGAAGCTTCAAAGTTAATATTATCTCCAAGAATGTACTCGTTGCTGGGTCTCTCCAACTGCCAGTTATCTGTGAAGACAAGTAAAGGGCATAATCTACTACTCATTTCAAACATAATGCCCCTGCTCTAGTTTGTCAACTGTGGGGTTGGATATTGGCAAAAATAACTGCTGTCATTTTGTTTTCTGGGGTCACCACCTCATTCCAATAACTCAGTGGCAGTTACATTTGCCAGTTGGCAAGACCCACCCCCACAGTTTACAAACAAGTGCAGAGACATCACTTAAGTCAGTACCTGTCAAGATCAATGACAATATGGCAAGGACAAGCCCTTACTCACCAGTCATTAGCCTCAGGGAGAAGTACAGGAACTCCTCTGCAACCTTAGTGGAGGCATAGGGATTCCAGGTGGGCTTCACAGAATCACTGCTCACATCATGCTTTCTGTAAAAGAGTCTCTTTAATGTGAGACCAAAAGTCCAAGGAAGTGCATCCAAAGTCGATTGAACTTACAAAAACACCACAATGCAGGTGTAATCAACTCACCTTTGATAGTGACACTCAACCCAGAGCTCCACTTCTCTTGTCCGAACAACGGGGCTGCTGCCCAGAGTGGCTGGTGTATAACGGAGTGTGAAGACGTAGACCAGTGAATCATCAGTCATCTGGAATCATAGCAGCAAGTGGCATTGTAAGAAAATCAATGGTTGTCAACCTTGCAAAATTATAACGGTGCTAAAGCGCAATGTTACCGTCAGAGTGCTGCCACATCCGTGCAGCTCTGTGTCAAAGATCAGCACTTGAGCGGAAGCATCCTCCCCGGTGACCGCACAGCCTCCCAAGGTGAGATCCGCTGCGTGAATAAGTTGGCCTATACCAAGCAGATCTCGCTTGACTTCCACACGAGCAGCAGTCTCCCCACATTGAACTGCAACGCTATTGGCAGGCACAGGCAGCGGGCTCTGCTCATCAATAGCCAACTGCACCTCTTTGATTGGATCTTCAGGAAATCTCCAGGTCAAAGGCTCATTCAATGTCTGCTTTGACTGGAGGAAAGGGTTTTGAACTTGCTTCGGTGTCTGGACCCTGGCGGGCCATTGCACAGGTCTTGGTTGAAATCTAGCTGGTTCTTGAGCAGGCCTATACTGTGGAACAAATCTCCCAGGGGCATGTGCCACTTGGCGCCGGGATTCCTCTGCCTGATAAATCTGCTGAACTGTAGCTAAACAGCCAAAGGTAAGAAGTAGGATGATTTTAATACAAAACGCCATTATTCTATCTAGTCTCTATATTATATATTTATTGGAATTCTTTGACGTTTGCAATAGCAACACTGTTTCTGAACAGCCATTTTGTATCCCTTTGTCTTAGTTTGACTCCACCCCTTGTTTGATTTATCTAATGATCTTCCAGAAGTGTTATGCAGCTGCACACAGACTACAATCTGAACTGGATGTATCTCAATACTTTAAAGTATCTTCATTTATAACAGGGATGGTCAACTCCAGTCCTCTGGGGCCTGATTGATGTCACACTTTTGCGCAAGCCCCAGCTAACACACCTGACTCCAATAATCAACTAATCTTCAGTTTAAAATGCAATTAGTTTAATCAGCTGTGTTTGCTAGGGATGGGGGAGAAGTGTGACATTACTCTGGCCACTGAGTTGCCCATCCCTGATTTATAATGTCCTGGGACCGGTTTCCTGATAGTGATGGAATTTAGCCTTATGAGTGTTTTAATGATACATCTTTCCCACAACGGCCGAAAATGTAACACACTTTTCCCAAAACACCAAGCAGAGAGAACGGTCGCTAAGTGCGTTGTTGGAGTATGTGTCGATACTGATGGGATCGAAAGAAAGCGAGAACAGCTTTCTCCATTCAAAATTTGCCTTAACGTTAGAATTATTTCACAATACTGATGATGGATTAGTTCCTAGAGAGATATTACCACCTTATGGCTGCAAATGTTAAGGCAGCTTATTATAATGCTTACCAAATAAAAATGCATTAAATCGCTGATTTGGCACATTGCGCACGTTAGGCTACACAACATGAAATATATATATAGGCAAATTACAAAATAGTCTACAATTAGTCTACAAATAGCAAAACAGAACATGAAATGTATTTAAATAGTCCTATAGCCCACTGTTTATTTTAATGCAGCGGGACTAGTTTCTGTGGATGCGGTTTTCATTTGAAGCATATTTTTTATACGTCATGTTTGTATCAATTGCAAAGACATAGGCAAATTTATTTTGTAGTCAACTTTGTTCTGAAGTTTTCTGCAGTCATAGAGATAAGATAAACCATGTGATTATGTTTAGCGGAGATATTGTTTGTATAAAGTGACACGGGAGGGCAAAAAAGCATCTAAGGACACAGATGTTCTGAGGTAGGTGTTAGTTTACGAGAGTTTAAGTGCACCTTAATAATTTTGGTTTTGGGATGCTCCTACGAAGGTTCTAACAATACACTTTGCCTTAAGTTGCTTTTGAGAAACTGGGCCCAGGGATCTCCAACCCTGTTCCTGGAGCGCTACCCTACCCTCCTGTAGGTTTTCAATCCAACCCCAGTTGTAACTAACCTGATTCAATTTATCAACCAGCTAATTATTAGAATCAGGTGCTCTACATTAGGGCTTGAGCAACAACCTACAGGACTGTCGCACTCCATGAACAGAGTTGGAGACATTGGCGGATTGGCCTTCTGGCAATTCTGGCAAATGCCAGAAGGACCAGACCATATTTTATTGGGTGGAGGGGTCAAAAAAATAAAATAATATATACACACAACATGACCAAAAGTATGTGGACACCTGCTCGTCGAACATCTCATTCCAAAATCATGGGCATTAATATGGAGTTGGTCCCCCCTTTGCTGCTATAACAGCCTTCACTCTTCTGGGAAGGCTTTCCACTAGATGTTGGAACATTGCTGCAAGGACTTGCTTTCATTCAACCACAAGAGCATTAGTGAGGTCCGGCACTGATGTTGGGCGGTTAGGCCTGCCTCGCAGTCGGCGTTCCAATTCATCCCAAAGGTGTTCGATGGGGTTGAGGTCAGGGCTCTGTGCAGGCCAATAAAGTTCTTCCACATCGATCTCGACAAACCATTTCTGTATGGACCTCGCTTTGTGCATGGGGGCATTGTCATGCTAAAACAGGAAAGGGCCTTCCCCAAACTGTTGCCACAAAGTTGGGAGCACAGAATCGTCTAGAATGTCATTGTATGCTGTAGCGTTAAGACTTTCCTTCACTTTCCTTCACTTCACCGCCCCAGGCCATTATTCCTCCTCCACCAAACTCTACAGTTGGCCCTATGCATTGGGGCAGGTAGCGTTCTCCTGACATCCGCCAAACTCAGATTAGTCCGTCGAACTGCCAGATGGTGAAGCGTGATTCATCACTCCATAGAACGCTTTTCCGCTGCTCCAGAGTCCAATGGCGGCGAGCTTTCCACCCCTCCAGCCAACACTTGGTATTGCGCATGGTGATCTTAGGCTTGTGTGTGGCTGCTCGGCCATGGAAACCCATTTCATGAAACTCCCGATGAATAGTTATTGTGCTGACTTTGCTTCCAGAGGCAGTTTGGAACTCGGTAGTGAGTGTTGCAACCGAGGACAGATGATTTTTAAGCACTTCAGCACTCAGCGGTCCCGTTCTGTGAGCTTGTGTGGCCTACCTACTTCACGGCTGAGCCGTTGTTGCTCCTAGACGTTTCCACTTCACAATAACAGCACTCACAGTTGACCGGGGCAGCTCTAGCAGGGCAGAAGTTTGACGAACTGACTTGTTGGAAAGGTGGCATCCTATGACGGTGAAACGTTGAAAGTCGCTGAGCTCTTCAGTAAGGCCATTCTACTGCCAATGTTTGTCTATGGAGATTGCATGGCTGTGTGCTCAATTTTATACACCTGTCAGCAACGGGTGTGGCTGAAATAGCCGAAGCCATTAATTTGAAGGGGTGTCCACATACTTCTGCATATATAGTGTATGTGTTCATCTTATCATATTTCTTCAATGCGAAATCAGTGTGTCTTGTTTGCAATGAAACTGTACCTCTTTGCAAATAATTAAATGTGAGACATCATTAGGAATCAAAAGTTGCACTATACTTGCCCTATAGCCTAACAAGTCATTAGATTGGCTTTTACGACACATAGGTAAGGCAATAGCTATCTACTAGACATTTATACAGTGCTTTTTATTAAACACAAGTCATCATGTAGGCCTATTCAAATAAAACATTGAATGCATAAATGCTAAATAATCCAAATTAACCTGTTAAAGGGGAAGTTGGGGGCTGTTTGTGTATTTTATTTGTTTTATCAATGTTTAGGCTATTTACTTCACTTCTAAATCTCATTGTCTCTTCAGCCAGCGAGGCAACTAGGGTTTTTGAACCGTAACAGAGAGGAAGAGCCACGTATCTGCCCTCTCATTGGCTAGAGTGGTCGCATCTGATCTCAGCTCCTGCCTGCCGTCCATCTTTGAGGAGTTGTATTTCCATTGTTAGAGCGGTTATTTGACCTGCTTGGCAGGATATTGACAACTTTTTACCCATTGTTACTGATTAGACTTCCATATATAGCTACCAGAAAGTTCAAATTATTAGCATGTTATTATGGGCGAAAACCTGGCAATCTCCATAAAGTAATGTGCCTTCAAAGTATTTTATGAATGCTTTTCATTATTTTATGTGCATCAATAGAGAAAAATAAACTGCATGAATAATTTCTCTGCAGGGTGGCCTTTTCTTCCCACAAAGAGGCCCCGTTTCCATACTAATTATCAGATAAGTCTGAATAATAGCACAATAAAAGAATAAACAAACTGAAAATGCAAATCCAGGAACGTTTGAAACAATGAGAGAAAACAGTGTTTAGAGATGGTACACTCAGCTTTCAGTAGACATGGGCCCTCTTTCCCGATAGCAATGGAACTGAGGCTTACGAGTGTTTTGACGATGCATCTTTCCTACAACGGCCGGAAGCTGTAACAAGCGTTTCCCAAAAACACCACGCAGAGAGAATGGTCGCTACGTGCATCGTTGGAGCATGTGTCGATACTGATACAGATTGAAAGGCAGCGCTGCTCTCAGGTCAGCTTTCACCATTCAAATAATTTCACAGAGAGCGAGTGTCTTTGTCAGAGAGCGATAAACACAATGACAGACGTAAAAATCCAGAGGTGCAAATTAGAGCCATCAAAAAGTTCAAAATATTACTCAAAAGCGTCAAAAAACTTCTGAGAATCTTTGTTAGCATACACTTAACACTATCAAGTTATTGGTTTACCTCATTACATTTTCTATTGAATAATTTTGATAAAGCTTCTATTGTAATGTTGTAATATTTGTCTAGCACTGCAAAAGGCAAAGCCTTAAGGATAATAAAGGGTTTAGGGTTGCCTAGAGACTGACTGGTTTAACTCCCTACACCCATTGCTCAGTTATGAAAGGTTAAAGGAATCTCATACATTTTAAAGCTTTTGCATTGAAATAAACATACCAAACAAAAGTTGGATGTAATTATTTTATAACCTCTTCGAAGTCCTTCACAGTTTTTACTGAACATCTAAAAGTTAAAGTATTGCATTTTCTTTTCTCTTCAAGTTTACACCATTCCTTGATGTTGAATATTTTTCATAATTTATTTAATTGTCCTTGTTTTTTTTACAGCTGGAGAACTCCAGAAGAATGGAAGTGTGCAAATCCATTGGACCCTTTCCACTTCAATTATGGTGGATAAATAATATGAATGGATTTTTATGAATGTGTGGAGGGATAAGAGTTGTTTCGTGACATGCATCAAATAGAGCGAAGAGGATTTGAAACAGAATTGGCATACTGGCAACATTGACAAACTAAAAACCCAGACAGAATGTAAATCCTCAACATCCAATAGCTTCAGCACTATTGACAAATTGTCCAAACAAACCATATCCTTTCAAGCACTTTCTGAAAATACCAGCAATTGTTTGAGTTTGTAATACAATGCATTCACCGCTACAAAGCCCCCATTTCAGAGTTTTGTAAATCAATACCATTACATAGGAGTTTTTTTTTTCTACAGTATAGATACTCTAATCAACACCGAAGGGTCATGTAGCTTCTGTCTATGCCCACTCTTAAAAGTATAAAGTCCTTTCTAAATCAAACCCACTGTTCCTGAACTATAAGAGTTACACTACTTCTCATTGCCCTGTATTCACCTTTAATGGAGGACCCGTTCCCCCTCCTTTAGTCAGGAATACACCCTGTAACTAAACAAGACTAATGTAATGTGTGGTAAAGACTACTACTTTTACTATTGGTTGCACAACGATCGAAAATCGAACTTGCATTGTTGCAGTTCAGAGATTCACATTGATGGGCTAGATACAGTACACTGGAATATACCACTTCCAGGCCCTCCCCCCCAGAAGGTTCATGGGAAATTGTGCAAGTCACATTTTGGTAGTAAAAAAAAATGGTTCCTGTGAGTGGTAATAGCCTCACCAGAATTGTGCATTTAAATTGTTTTAGCAAGGTTTAAGTCACGATACAGGGCAGTTTTAAGACCTGACATTTTTACCTGCTGAAGTTCACCGGTTAAAAGGAAAACTCCACCCAAAAACGTTGGGTATTAGTTTCATTAGTACATTGTTGATATAGTATCAAAACATTATACATGTCAGCAATCAAGTTAAGATATAACAAAAACTACAGAATCAGGGAGTTGAGGAACTTCATTTTAGACCTGGGATACATATTACAAAAGCTCATGCTAGTCAATGAACAAAATGCACAACAAACGTAATCTAGATAGATTTTATTTTATCCAGAATGCATTTTTTAGCAGGAAAGTCAGTCCAGATGAGTAGGCCATCAGTGAAGAAGCTTTTCCTTTATGTTGAGAGGACCAACAGAAGCTTCTTGCGCCCACTGGAAACCTAAGAGCAGAAGACCATGTCTACATAGGGAGAACTAAGAAACAAACTTGACAAAAGCATTGTTTCTCAGTCAATTCCTGGGTGACTCAGTGGGTGCACTTTTTTGTTCCACCCCAGCACTGACCGCCAATTTAGCCAAAGGCTTAGGTGAATCAACTACGTAGGTATTGGAGTAAGACAAAAATGTGCACCCCAGAGAGTCATCCAGGAATGATTGAGAAACATTGGACTGAAGTGCACATGTACCTGGATCTGGTTCCCTTTTCATGCCACAGTCTGTGTCACAACAGCCACATGCCTGGTCTTTCCCATTGGCCTCATGCCATCTATGGAAAACAGAGTGTTGCATGTTGTACACAGTCGGTGCAAGTAAAGTGTGGTCCTCTGTAGCTCAATTGGTAGAGCATGGCGCTTGTAACGCCAGGGTAGTGGGTTCGATCCCCGGGACCACCCATACGTAAAAATGTATGCGCAAATGACTAAGTCGCTTTGGATAAAAGCATCTGCTAAATGACATTATTTAAAGTGCACAACCTGCATATATACCCAGACTTACCCATTCAAGAAGGAACAGGCCTTGTTCTCATGATCAATACGCGCTGAAGCTGTTGTGGCTTTCAGGAGGCAGGTAATGTATAGCTGTTGAAATTACATTTGTTGAAGCCTCGGAATTGGTACCACGTAATTAGTAGATGTGACACTCAAAGCTACGTCATGGTGGGTACAACAGCCATATTGGGAATACTATTCTTAATTTTTGATTGAAGCTCATCAACTGCCAGTTCTATAAATTGGGATAGCCAAGCTAATTTGCAGAAGACCTCAGGATTGACTACTCACCGATCCAGTGTTCACAACCTGAAACCTAAAGGCTTCTATCTGGAACCGGAGCTTGTCATCCATGGTGCGAGGTATGAACTGGGACCTGGAGCCTGTCAGCTTGGTGTCGACCAGACAACTGAAGGGCACAAAAAAACAAAAATTAGGCTACCTACACTGTTGAACCTCTGGAGGGATGCCATTCAAAATGGACGTTGATCTGAAGTGTGGGCAGGTGGAGGGAATGGGAAATGCCTTCCTTAGCAATATATTAAAGCAAATGATTAGTCCTTGAACTAGATCAAGTACCTTACAAAGGACACTCACCCACGGTTCTCGATGAAGGCATATCTTGGGACAGTGTTGATGTTTGGGATGACTGTGGCTACACAGCGGTCCACAAAGACTCGGAGGGGCACATGGTAGAACTGGACGACAGAAGCTTCAAAGTTAATATTATCTCCAAGAATGTACTCGTTGCTGGGTCTCTCCAACTGCCAGTTATCTGTGAAGACAAGTAAAGGGCATAATCTACTACTCATTTCAAACATAATGCCCCTGCTCTAGTTTGTCAACTGTGGGGTTGGATATTGGCAAAAATAACTGCTGTCATTTTGTTTTCTGGGGTCACCACCTCATTCCAATAACTCAGTGGCGGTTACATTTGCCAGTTGGCAACACCATAGCTTACAAACAAGTGCAGAGACAGCACTTAAGTCAGTACCTGTCAAGATCAATGACAATATGGCAAGGACAAGCCCTTACTCACCAGTCATTAGCCTCAGGGAGAAGTACAGGAGCTCCTCTGCAACCTTAGTGGAGGCATAGGGATTCCAGGTGGGCTTCACTGCACCGCTGCTCACGTCATGCTTTCTGTAAAGGAGTCTCTTTAATGCGAGACCAAAAGTCCAAGGAAGTGCATCCAAAGTCGATTGAACTTACAAAAACACCACAATGCAGGTGTAATCAACTCACCTTTGATAGAGACACTCAACCCAGAGCTCCACTTCTCTTGTCCGAACAATGGGGCTGCTGCCCAGAGTGGCTGGTGTATAACGGAGTGTGAAGACGTAGACCAGTGAATCATCAGTCATCTGGAATCATAGCAGCAAGTGGCATTGTAAGAAAATCAATGGTTGTCAACCTTGCAAAATTATAACGGTGCTAAAGCTCAATGTTACCGTCAGAGTGCTGCCACATCCGTGCAGCTCTGTGTCAAAGATCAGCACTTGAGCAGAAGCATCCTCCCCGGTGACTGTACAGCCTCCCAAGGTGAGATCCGCTGCGTGAATAAGTTGGCCTATACCAAGCAGATCTCGCTTGACTTCCACATGAGCAGCAGTCTCCCCACATTGAACTGCAACGCTATTGGCAGGCACAGGCAGCGGGCTCTGCTCATCAATAGCCAACTGCACCTCTTTGATTGGATCTTCAGGAAATCTCCAGGTCAAAGGCTCATTCAATGTCTGCTTTGACTGGAGGAAAGGGTTTTGAACTTGCTTCGGTGTCTGGACCCTGGCGGGCCATTGCACAGGTCTTGGTTGAAATCTAGCTGGTTCTTGAGCAGGCCTATACTGTGGAACAAATCTCCCAGGGGCATGTGCCACTTGGCGCCGGGATTCCTCTGCCTGATAAATCTGCTGAACTGTAGCTAAACAGCCAAAGGTAAGAAGTAGGATGATTTTAATACAAAACACCATTATTCTATCTAGTCTCTATATTATATATTTATTGGAATTCTTTGATGTTTGCAATAGCAACACTGTCTCTGAACAGCCATTTTGTATCCCTTTGTCTTAGTTTGACTCCACCCCTTGTTTGATGTATCTAATGATCTTCCAGATGTGTTATGCAGCTGCACACAGACTACAATCTGAACTGGATGTATCTCAATACTTTAAAGTATCTTCATTTATAACAGGGATGGTCAACTCCAGTCCTCTGGGGCCTGATTGATGTCACACTTTTGCGCCAGCCCCAGCTAACACACCTGACTCCAATAATCAACTAATCTTCAGTTTAAAATGCAATTAGTTTAATCATGTCATGAGCCCTCTCACTCCACCGGGTTACCACCTTAATTTGTTTCCACTATCTTCCACTCTGCTCACCACTCTCTCTACTCAGCCTAACTAGCTCCACCTGTCCCTGCTCTGCTCTGCTCTAATTACTCTGCCAGCTGCGCTGCATTACCCACTAACCTCTCCCAGTATTTAAAGCCCTGTCTTTCAGCTCTCCTTTGTCAGATCGTCTGCAAAGCTCACACCCGGAACCTGTTTGCTCACGCTTCTGGCTCACCCTTGTTTTGTGACCCCGGACCTGCCTGATTCTTGGATACTCTTCTGCCCCAGGAAAACCAGACCTGCTTTCTGCCATAACGACTCCTGACTACTCTTCAATCCCGGTAACTCTGACCAGCCTTCTGCCTTGCTACAACGTATTTGGATTTCCCTTGAACTGTACTGCTGCCTTGTTTCATCCGCCCCGTTGTGTCTGTGTTTCCCCCCCCAGGACTTCTGGACCACCCACCACCGGCGTCATAGGACGCATCGCTGCCACTGGGGGGGGCACAGACCCAGCACATTGGACGGGATCCCTGTTACCCCTGGAGCCTTCACTCACTCCCTACTTCCCTTTTCCCTTAAGTTTTAATAAACTTTCTGGTGTGACGCAATTGTGGTCCTCTGGTCGTCTGTCTGAACCGTGACAAATCAGCTGTGTTTGCTAGGGATGGGGGAGAAGTGTGACATTACTCTGGCCACTGAGGACTGGAGTTGCCCATCCCTGATTTATAATGTCCTGGGACCGGTTTCCTGATAGTGATGGAATTTAGCCTTATTAGTGTTTTAATGATACATCTTTCCCACGACGGCTGAAAATGTAACACACTTTTCCCAAAACACCAAGCAGAGAGAACGGTCGCTAAGTGCGTTGTTGGAGCATGTGTCGATACTGATGGGATCGAAAGAAAGCGAGAACAGCTTTCTCCATTCAAAATGTGCCTTAACGTTAGAATTATTTCACAATACTGATGACGGATTAGTTCCTAGAGATATACCTTATGGCTGCAAATGTTAAGGCAGCTTATTATAATGCTTACCAAATAAAAATGCATTCAATCGCTGATTTGGCACATTGCGCACGTTAGGCTACACAACATGAAATATATATAGGCAAATTACAAAATAGTCTACAATTAGTCTACAAATAGCAAAACAGAACATGAAATGTATTTAAATAGTCCTATAGCCCACTGTATATTTTAATACAGCGGGACTAGTTTCTGTGGATGCGGTTTTCATTTTAAGCATATTTTTTATACGTCATGTTTGTATCAATTGCAAAGACACAGGCAACTTTATTTTGTAGTCAACTTTGTTCTGAAGTTTTCTGCAGTCATAGAGATAAGATAAACCATGTGATTATGTTTAGCGGAGATATTGTTTGTATAAAGTGACACGGGAGGGCAAAAAAGCATCTAAGGACGCACTTAGATGTTCTGAGGTAGGTGTTAGTTTACGAGAGTTTGTGTGCACCTTAATAATTTTGGTTTTGGGATGCTCCTACGAAGGTTCTAACAATACACTTTGCCTTAAGTTGCTTTTGAGAAACTGGGCCCAGGGATCTCCAACCCTGTTCCTGGAGCGCTACCCTACCCTCCTGTAGGTTTTCAATCCAACCCCAGTTGTAACTAACCTGATTCAATTTATCAACCAGCTAATTATTAGAATCAGGTGCTCTACATTAGGGCTGGAGCAACAACCTACAGGACTGTCGCACTCCATGAACAGAGTTGGAGACATTGGCGGATTGGCCTTCTGGCAATTCTGGCAAATGCCAGAAGGACCAGACCTTATTTTATTGGGTGGAGGGGTCAAAAAAATAAAATAATATGTACACACAACATGACCAAAAGTATGTGGACACCTGCTCGTCGAACATCTCATTCCAAAATCATGGGCATTAATATGGAGTTGGTCCCCCCTTTGCTGCTATAACAGCCTCCACTCTTCTGGGAAGGCTTTCCACTAGATGTTGGAACATTGCTGCAAGGACTTGCTTTCATTCAACCACAAGAGCATTAGTGAGGTCCGGCACTGATGTTGGGCGGTTAGGCCTGCCTCGCAGTCGGCGTTCCAATTCATCCCAAAGGTGTTCGATGGGGTTGAGGTCAAGGCTCTGTGCAGGCCAGTAAAGTTCTTCCACACCGATCTCGACAAACCATTTCTGTATGGACCTCGCTTTTTGCATGGGGGCATTGTCATGCTAAAACAGGAAAGGGCCTTCCCCAGACTGTTGCCACAAAGTTGGGAGCACAGAATCGTCTAGAATGTCATTGTATGCTGTAGCGTTAAGATTTCCCTTCACTGGAACTAAGGGACCTAGCCCGAACCATGACAAACAGCCCCAGACCATTATTCCTCCTCCACCAAACTCTACAGTTGGCCCTATGCATTGGGGCAGGTAGCGTTCTCCTGACATCCGCCAAACTCAGATTAGTCCGTCGAACTGCCAGATGGTGAAGCGTGATTCATCACTCCATAGAACGCTTTTCCGCTGCTCCAGAGTCCAATGGCGGCGAGCTTTCCACCCCTCCAGCCAACACTTGGTATTGCGCATGGTGATCTTAGGCTTGTGTGTGGCTGCTCGGCCATGGAAACCCATTTCATGAAACTCCCGATGAATAGTTATTGTGCTGACTTTGCTTCCAGAGGCAGTTTGGAACTCGGTAGTGAGTGTTGCAACCGAGGACAGACGATTTTTAAGCACTTCAGCACTCAGAGGTCCCGTTCTGTGAGCTTGTGTGGCCTACCACTTCACGGCTGAGCCGTTGTTGCTCCTAGACGTTTCCACTTCACAATAACAGCACTCACAGTTGACCGGGGCAGCTCTAGCAGGGCAGAAGTTTGACGAACTGACTTGTTGGAAAGGTGGCATCCTATGATGGTGAAACGTTGAAAGTCGCTGAGCTCTTCAGTAAGGCCATTCTACTGCCAATGTTTGTCTATGGAGATTGCATGGCTGTGTGCTCAATTTTATACACCTGTCAGCAACGGGTGTGGCTGAAATAGCCGAAGCCATTAATTTGAAGGGGTGTCCACATACTTCTGCATATATAGTGTATGTGTTCATCTTATCATATTTCTTCAATGTGAAATCAGTGTGTCTTGTTTGCAATGAAACTGTACCTGTTTGCAAATAATTAAATGTGAGACATCATTAGGAATCAAAAGTTGCACTATACTTGCCCTATAGCCTAACAAGTCATTAGATTGGCTTTTACGACACATAGGTAAGGCAATAGCTATCTACTAGACATTTATACAGTGCTTTTTATTAAACACAAGTCATCATGTAGGCCTATTCAAATAAAACATTGAATGCATAAATGCTAAATAATCCAAATTAACCTGTTAAAGGGGAAGTTGGGGGCTGTTTGTGTATTTTATTTGTTTTATCAATGTTTAGGCTATTTACTTCACTTCTAAATCTCATTGTCTCTTCAGCCAGCGAGGCAACTAGGGTTTTTGAACCGTAACAGAGAGGAAGAGCCACGTATCTGCCCTCTCTTTGGCTAGAGTGGTCGCATCTGATCTCAGCTCCTGCCTGCCGTCCATCTTTGAGGAGTTGTATTTCCATTGTTAGAGCGGTTATTTGACCTGCTTGGCAGGATATTGACAAATGAAGCACAATGCTGAAAATCTGTCTGCATCCACAGAAACTAGTTCCATCATTCTATGACAAACACAGATGGTTTTATATCAAATTCAATAGAAGAGAACAGAGAGAGAGGAAGAGAGACTGACACAGACGTACTGCCAGTCCTTAATGTTATGACTGTATATGTAGCCTAATATTAAACACAGCTAAGTGGGCAGGGGGGAACACATGACATGCCCCTTAATTTACAAGGCATTTTAAGCCAGTGGTCATCTATAAGAAAAATAGTTCCAAACCTCTCTTCCAATATCAGCTAGTTTTCTATTTTCCCCTACACACTCAGACGACTCTCAGACAGTCCCAGCAAAATGATTTGCTAAGAAGCTATTTTTGTTTCTTTTTGGCCATTTTATTGAAAACAACCACAGTAAGCTAATTAATTGTTGCCCCGAAATGATTAGATATTGATATAAAAAACGGCTGCATTGGATCTGAAATATGAAAATGATCCATGAAATTGCCAGGAAGCCTATTGTTCTGGCAAAGTTCCGTCCGTAGCAGATTGTATTTTATGTGGATAATATGAATGTGGGCTACTTTGTTTTTGCAAAACAGGAGAAAATGAAACCAGTGCTTTCTGGTCACTGAACTGGATATGTGCACCCGCCTTTGCATGCCAATGCTGATGACTGGTCATTGGTCAACAGTCAAGACGCACAACTTTTTGATTCTGAAGCACATATTAGATGTTTTTGAGACAAGAAGACGTAGACCTAAGTTAGTGACCAGATTGAATAGGCAAAGGCATAAATATAAAATACCAATGGTAGGCTACAGTGCCTTCGGAAAGTATTCAGACCACTTGACTTTTGATACATTTTGTTACATTAATGTGTAGCAATCTACACACAACACACCATAATGAGAAAGCGAAAAAACAGGTTTTTAGACATTTCTGCAAATGATTTAAACATAAAAAACAGAAATACCTTATTTACATAAGTATTCAGACCCTTTGCTATGAGACTCGAAATTGAGCTCAGGTGCATCCTGTTTCCATTAATCATCCTTGAGATGTTTCTACAACTTGATTGGAGTCCACCTGTGGTAAATTCAATCGATTGGACATGATTTGGAAAGGCACACACCTGTCTATATAAGGTCCCACAGTTGACAGTGCATGTCAGAGCAAAAACCAAGCCATGAGGTCAAAGGTATTGTCCGTAGAGCTCCGAGACAGGATTGTGTCGAGGCACAGATCTGGGGAAGGGTACAAAAAACATGTCTGCAGCATTGAAGGTCCCCAAGAACACAGTGGCCTCCATCATTCTTAAATAGAAGAAGTTTGGAACCAACAAGACTCTTCCAAGAGCTGGCCGCCCGGCCATACTGAGTAATCGGGGGAGAAATGTCTTGGTCAGGGAGGTGACCAAGAACCCGATGGTTACTCTGACCGAGCTCTAGAGTTCCTCTGTGGAGATGGGAGAACCCTCCAGAAGGACAAACATCTCTGCAGCACTCCACCAATCAGGCCGTTATGGTAGAGTGGCCAGACGGAAGCCACTACTCAGTAAAAGGCACATGACAGCCCACTTGGAGTTTGCCAAAAGGCACCTAAAGAATCTCAGACCGTGAGAAACAAGATTCTCTGGACTGATGAAACCAAGATTGAACTATTTGGCCTGAATGCCAAGCATCACGTCTGGAGGAAACCTGGCACCATCCCTACTGTGAAGCATGGTGGTGGCAGCATCATGCTGTGGGGATATTTTTCAGCATCAGGGACTGGGAGACTAGTCAGGATCGAGGCAAAGACGAGCGGAGAAAAGTACAGAGAGATCCTTGATGAAAACCTGCTCCAGAGCGCTCAGGACCTCAGACTGGGGCGAAGGTTGACTTTCCAACAGGACAACGACCCTAAGCACACAGCCAAGACAACGCAGGAGTGGCTTCGGGACAAGTCTCTGAATGTCCTTGAGTGGCCCAGCCAGAGCCCGGACTTCAACCCGGTCGAACATCTCTGGAGAGACCTGCAAATAGCTGTGCAGCAACGCTCCCCATCCAACATAACAAAGCTTGAGATGATCTGCAGAGAAGAATGGTAGAAACTCCCCAAATACAGGTGTGCAAAGCTTGTAGCGTCATACCCAAGACAAGTCGAGGCTGTATTTGCTGCCAAAGGTACTTCAAGAAAATACTTAGTAAAGGGTCTGAATACTTATGTAAATGTAATATTTAAATTAGCAAAATAAATTCATTAGTCTCTATCCTATGGATTTCACATGACTGGGAATACAGATAGGGGCGTAGATCAGAAAACCAGTCAGTATCTTGTCTGACCACCATTTGCCTCATGCAGCACAACACATCTCCTTTACATAGTTGATCAGGCTGTTGATTGTGGCATGTGGAATGTTGTCCCACTCCTCTTCAAATGGCTGTGCGAAGTTGTTGGATATTGGAGGAAACTGGAACACACTGTCCTACACATCGATCCAGAGCATCCCAAACATGCTCAATGGGTGACATGTCTGGAGAGTGTGCAGGCCATGGAAAAACTGGGACATGTTCCGCTACCAGGAATTGTGTACAGATCCTTGTGACATGGTGCCGTGCATTATCATGCTGAAACATGAGGTGATGGCAGCGGATGAATGGCACGTCAATGGGCCTCAGGATCTCATCACAGTATCTCTGTGCATTACATTTACATTTACATTTACGTCATTTAGCAGACGCATTCAAATGCAATTGTGTTCGTGGTCCGTTGGCTATGCCTGCCCATACCATAACCCTACCACCACCATGGGGCACTCTGTTCACAACTTTGACATTTGCAAACCGCTCGCCCACACAACGCCAAACCGTGATTAATCCGTGAAGAGCATACTTCTCCAGCGTGCCAGTGGCCATCGAAGGTGTGCATTTGCCCACTGAAGTCAGTTACGACGCCAAACTGCAGTCAGGTCAAGACCCTGGTGAGGATGACGAGCACGCAGATTAGCTTCCCTGAGACGGTTTCTGACAGTTTGTGCAGAGATTATTTGGTTGTGCAAACCCACAGTTTCATCAGCTGTCCGGGTGGCTGGTCTCAGATGGTCCCACTGGTGAAGAAGCCGGATGTGGAGGTCTTGGACTGGCATGGTTACACGTGATCTGCGCTTGTGAGGCTGTTTAGACGTACTGCCAAATTCTCTAAAACTACGTTGGAGGCAGCTTATGGTAGAGAAATGAACATAAAATTCTCTGGCAACAGCTCTGGTGGACATTCCTGTAGTCAGCATGGCAATTGCACGCTCCCTCAAAACTTGAGACATCTGTGGCATTGTGTTGTGTGACAAAACTGCACATTTTAGTTGCCTTTTATTGTTCCCAGCACAAGGTGAATCTGTGTAATGATGCTGTTTAATCAGCCTCTTGATATACCACACCTGTCAGGTGGATAGATTATCTTGGCAAATGAGACATGCTCACTAACATGGATGTAAACTGTCACGTTGTTGATGTGGATGCGGTGGTGAAGTCAGGCGCAGGACACAGAGGATAAGTCAACACGACTTTACTGAGACTCATGAACAATACAAAGTAAATGGCCTCGAAAACACCGGAGGCAAACTAATACGCGCAATGCGTAAAATACTCTTACACACAAAAGTACCGAACCTTGACACCAAACGACAGGCGGACAATAACAAACAACTGCAAACAAAACCAAAGGAAACTTATAGGTGACATAATCAATACAGAAGACGAAACAGGTGCGACCAACTAGACAAGACCAAACAAACATCGAGAACATACAAGCGGTAGTAGCTAGTACTCCGGGGACGACGAACGCCGAAGCCTGCCCGCGCAAGGAGGAGGAGCAGCCTCGGCGGTATTCGTGACAGTACCCCCCCCTTGACGCGCGGCTCCAGCCGTGCGCCGACCCCGGCCTCGGGGACGGCCAGGAGGACGCGGAGCAGGGCGCGTGGGATGACTACGGTGGAACTCCGTCAGGAGGGAGGGATCTAAAATGTCCCTCCTAGGCACCCAGCACCGTTCCTCCGGACCGTACCCCTCCCACTCCACGAGATATTGTAGAACCCCCATCCGACGTCTCGAATCCACGATGGACCGGACTGAGTACGCCGGAGCCCCCTCGATGTCCAGTGGGGGCGGAGGAGTCTCTCTTATCTCACTGTCCTAGAGTGGACCAGCTACCACCGGCCTGAGGAGAGACACATGGAACGAGGGGTTAATGTGATAATCATTAGGCAGTTGTAACTTGTAACATACCTCGTTCAATCTCCTCAGGACTTTAAATGGCCCCACAAACCGCCGACCAAGCTTCCGGCAGGGCAGGCGAAGGGGCAGGTCTCGAGTCGAGAGCCAGACTCGATCTCCAGGTGCGTATACTGGACCCTCACTGCGGTGGAGACCGCCGGGACAGGGCGTCTGCCTTACCGTTCTGGGACCCTGGGATGTAAGTTATCCTAAAAACGAACCGGGTCAGAAACATGTTCCACCTAGCCTGACAAGGGTTCAATCTCCTAGCTGCCCGGATGTACTCCAGGTTACGATGGTCAGTCAGAATTAGAAAAGGGTGTTGAACCCCCTCAAGCCAATGCCTCCACACCTTTAGGGCTTGAACCACGGCTAGCAGCTCCCTGTCCCCTACGTCATAATTTCTTTCCGCCGGGCTGAGCTTCTTAGAATAAAAAGCGCAGGGACGGAGCTTAGGAGGCGTGCCTGAGCGTTGAGACAACACTGCCCCAATACCGGCCTCTGACGCGTCCACTTCCACCTGGAACGCTAAAGCGGGGTCCGGGTGCGCCAGCACCGGAGCCGAAGTGAACAGGTCCTTCAGTTTACCAAACGCCCTGTCCGCCTCAGCCGACCACTGCAAACGCACCGGGCCCCCCTTCAGCAGGGACGTGATGGGAGCTGCTACCTGTCCAAAACCCCGGATAAACCTCCGGTAGTAATTGGCAAAACCCAAAAACCGCTGCACCTCTTTAACAGTGGTTGGAGTCTGCCAATTACGCACAGCTGACACACGGTCAATCTCCATCTTCACCCCTGACGTGGACAACCGATGACCCAAGAAGGAGATGGACTCCTGAAAAAACAGACATTTCTCTGCCTTGACATACAAGTCATGCTCCAACAGCCTACCCAACACTCGGCGCACCAGGGCTACATGCTCGGCTCGTGTAGAAGAGTACACTAGGATGTCGTCAATGTACACTACCACACCCTGCCCATGCAGGTCCCGGAAGATCTCGTCCACAAAGGATTGGAAGACTGAAGGAGTATTCATTAACCCGTATGGCATGACGAGATACTCATAATGACCCGAGGTGGTACTAAATGCTGTCTTCCATTCATCTCCCTCCCTAATGCGCACCAGGTTGTAGGCGCTCCTGAGATCCAGTTTTGTGAAGAACCTTACAGCTCACACGTCACCCTCCTCTGGCCATCCAGGTATTGGTCGGACAGTGCACTGCCTTAGCACGAAGTACTGGTGGCCAACGTTAGCCAGGGATGTGAGGGTTTATGTTTCCTCCTTCTCGTTGTGTGCCCAGTGTAAGGCGCCTAGACATTTGCCCAGGGGTAAGTTACAACCCCTGCCCGTTCCACAACGACCCTGGTCGCACCTCTCGGTGGATTTTGTTACAGACCTTCCCCCCTCACAGGGGAATACCACCATTCTGGTCGTTGTGGACCGGTTCTCGAAGGCCTATCGTCTCCTTCCCATGCCGGGTCTCCCTACTGCCCTACAGACCGCTGAGGCACTATTCACCCACGTCTTCCGGCATTACGGGGTACCCGATGATATAGTGTCTGATCGAGGCCCCCAATTTACCTCCAGAGTCTGGAGAGCTTTTATGGAGCGCTTGGGGGTTTCGGTTAGCCTTACCTCGGGGTACCACCCGGAGAGCAATGGGCAGGTCGAACGTGTGAACCAGGATGTGGGTAGGTTTCTGAGGTCATATTGCCAGTGCCGGCCGGAGGAGTGGGCGAGGTATGTTCCCTGGGCCGAGATGGCACAGAACTCTCTCCGCCACTCCTCCACCAAACTAACTCCGTTCCAGTGTGTTTTAGGATACCAGCCGGCTCTGGCACCTTGGCATCAGAGCCAGATCGAGGCCCCTGCGGTGGATGAGTGGGTGCGGCGCTCGGAGGAAACGTGGAACGCTGCTCACGTCCATCTGCAGCGGGCCATCCGTCAACAGAAGACGAGCGCCGATCTCCACCGCAGTGAGGGACCGGTGTACGCACCGGGAGATCGGGTCTGGCTCTCGACCAGAAACCTGCCCCTCTGCCTGCCCTGCCGGAAGCTGGGTCGGCGGTTTGTGGGGCCTTTTAAAGTCCTGAGGAGGTTGAACGAGGTGTGTTACAGGTTACAATTGCCTATTGATTACAAGAGTATTAACCCCTCGTTCATTTTTTTTACATTTTAGTCATTTAGCAGACGCTCTTATCCAGAGCGACTTACAGGAGCAATTAGGGTTAAGGGCCTTGCTCAAGGGCACATTTACGTCATTTAGCAGACGCTCTTATCCAGAGCGACTCACAAATTGGGGGGGGTAGAATGATTACTTTATCCTATCCCAGGTATTCCTTAAAGAGGTGGGGTTTCAAATGTCTCCGGAAGGTGGTGAGTGACTCCGCTGTCCTGGCGCCGTGAGGGAGCTTGTTCCACCATTGGGGTGCCAGAGCAGCGAACAGTTTTGACTGGGCTGAGCGGGAACTATGCTTCCGCAGAGGAAGGGGAGCCAGCAGGCCAGAGGTGGATGAACGCAATGCCCTCGTTTGGGTGTAGGGACTGATCAGAGCCCGAAGGTACAGAGGTGCCGTTCCCCTCACTGCTCCATAGGCAAGCACCATGGTCTTGTAACGGACGCGAGCTTCAACTGGAAGCCAGTGGAGTGTGCGGAGGAGGGGGGTGACGTGAGAGAACTTGGGAAGGTTGAACACCAGACGGGCTGCGGCATTCTGGATGAGTTGTAGGGGTTTAATGGCACAGGCAGGGAGGCCAGCCAACAGCGAGTTGCAGTAATCCAGACGGGAGATGACAAGTGCCTGGATTAGGACCTGTGCCGCTTCCTGTGTAAGGCAGTGTCGTACTCTCCGAATGTTGTAGAGCATGAACCTGCAGGAGCGGGTCACCGCCTTGATGTTAGCGGAGAACGACAGGGTGTTGTCCAGGGTCACGCCAAGGCTCTTCGCACTCTGGGAGGAGGACACAACGGAGTTGTCAACCGTGATGGCGAGATCATGGAACGGGCAGTCCTTCCCCGGGAGGAAGAGCAGCTCCGTCTTGCCAGGGTTCAGCTTGAGGTGGTGATCCGTCATCCATACTGATATGTCTGTCAGACATGCAAAGATGCGATTCGCCACCTGGTTATCAGAAGGGGGAAAGGAGAAGATTAGTTGTGTATCGTCAGCGTAGCAATGATAGGAGAGGCCATGTGAGGATATGACAGAGCCAAGTGACTTGGTGTATAGGGAGAAAAGGAGAGGGCCTAGAACTGAGCCCTGGGGGACACCAGTGGTGAGAGCACGTGGTGCGGAGACAGCTTCTCGCCACGCCACTTGGTAGGAGCGACCGGTCAGGTAGGACGCAATCCAGGAGTGAGCCGCGCCGGAGATGCCCAGCTCGGAGAGGGTGGAGAGGAGGATCTGATGGTTCACAGTATCAAAGGCAGCAGACAGGTCTAGAAGGACAAGAGCAGAGGAGAGAGAGTTAGCTTTAGCAGTGCGGAGAGCCTCCGTGACACAGAGAAGAGCAGTCTCAGTTGAATGACCAGTCCTGAAACCTGACTGGTTTGGATCAAGAAGGTCATTCTGAGAGAGATAGCAAGAGAGTTGGCTAAAGACGGCACGCTCAATAGTTTTGGAAAGAAAAGAAAGAAGGGATACTGGTCTGTAGTTGTTGACATCAGTGGGATCGAGTGTTGGTTTTTTGAGAAGGGGAGCAACTCTCGCTCTCTTGAAGACGGAAGGGACATGGCCAGCGGTCAAGGATGAGTTGATCAGCGAGGTGAGGTAGGGGAGAAGGTCACCGGAGATGGTCTGGAGAAGAGAGGAGGGGATGGGGTCAAGCGGGCAGGTTGTTGGGCGGCCTGCAGTCACAAGTCGCAGGATTTTATCTGGAGAGAGAGGGGAGAAAGAAGTCAAAGCATAGGGTAGGGCAGTGTGAGCAGGACCAGCAGTGTCATTAGACTTAACAAACGAGGATCGGATGTCGTCAACCTTCTTTTCAAAGTGGTTGACGAAGTCATCCACAGAGAGAGAGGAGGGGGGGGGGGGGGGGGGGGGGGATTCAGCAGGGAGGAAAATGTGGCAAAGAGCTTCCTAGGGTTAAAGGCAGATGCTTGGAATTTAGAGTGGTAGAAAGTGGCCTTAGCAGCAGAAACAGATGAAGAAAATGTAGAGAGGAGGGAGTGAAAAGATGCCAGGTCGGCAGGGAGTTTAGTTTTCTTCCATTTCCGCTCCGCTGCCCGGAGCTCTGTTCTGTGAGTTCGCAATGAGTCATCAAGCCACGGAGCTGGAGGGGAGGACCGAGCCGGCCGGGAGGATAGGGGACACAGAGAGTCAAAGGATGCAGAAAGGGAGGAGAGGAGGGTTGAGGAGGCAGAATCAGGAGATTGGAGGGAGAAGGATTGATCAGAGGGAAGAGATGATTTGATGGAAGAGGAGAGAGTAGTGGGAGAGAGAGAGCGAAGGTTGCGGCGGCGCATTACCATCTGTGTAGGGGCAGAGTGAGTAGTGTTGGAGGAGAGCGAGAGAGAAAAGGAAACAAAGTAGTGGTCGGCGATATGGAGGGGAGTTGCAGTGAGATTAGTAGAAGAGCAGCATCTAGTAAAGATGAGGTCAAGCGTATTGCCTGCCTTGTGAGTAGGGGGGGACGGTGAGAGGGTGAGGTCAAAAGAGGAGAGGAGTGGAAAGAAGGAGGCAGAGAGAAATTTGTCAAATGTGGACATAGGGAGGTTGAAATCCCCCAAAACTGTGAGGGGTGAGCCATCCTCAGGAAAGGAACTTATCAAGGCGTCAAGCTCATTGATGAACTCTCCAAGGGGACCTGGAGGGCGATAGATGACAAGGATATTAAGCTTAAATGGGCTAGTGACTGTGACAGCATGGAATTCAAATGAGGAGATAGACAGGTGGGTTAGGGGAAAAATGGAGAATGTCCACTTGGGAGAGATGAGGATTCCTGTGCCACCACCCCTCTGACCAGATGCTCTCGGGGTATGCGAGAACACATGGTCAGACGAGGAGAGAGCAGTAGGAGTAGCAGTGTTTTCAGTGGTAATCCATGTTTCCGTCAGCGCCAGGAAGTCGAGGGACTGGAGGTTAGCATAGGCTGGGATGAAGTCAGCTTTGTTGGCAGCAGAACGGCAGTTCCAGAGGCTGCCTGAGACCTGGAACTCCAGGTGTGGGGTGCGTGCAGGGACCACCAGGTTAGAGAGGCAGCAGCCACGCGGTGTGAGGCGTTTGTGTAGCCTGTGCAGAGAGGAGAGAACAGGGATAGGCAGAGGCATAGTTGACAGGCTGTAGCAAATGGCTACAATAATGCAGAGGAGATCGGAATGAAATGAACTAAACATCTGGGAGAGGAGAGAGCAGGGCCTCCCTCACCAAAACTTCCACCTCAGAAACTATAATTGTTTCACTGAACCACCCGAACAAAAACTCTCCCAACTTCCACCTTTAGAAATCAGAATTGTTGTGAACCACAGCGGTTCAATGTTTAAAGGAATAGACTCAACCCACTTTATTCAGCTAGCTAACTATGACACCATAGCTAACTAGCATGCTAGCATCCAATAACACACAGTTTAGCACCAACACTTGGTCACAACAAACCACCAATAGTGTGTTAACACACTAAGCAGATAATTCGTGTCCGTGTCTAGTTCCTTTCATAACGCAGCAATAATTAAACGTTGGCTAGCTAGCACAAATATATTGTATTTAGCTGCCACAGTACAGCACACAATGGCTACTGTGTTGACTCTGTTCGAAAAACGGCTAGCTAGCTAGCTTCGTGCTACACCCGGCACCGCCGAAAACAATGCCAGCCTACAGTAACTACCCACAACAGCCCACGATGCCTAACTATGACACCATAGCTAACTAGCATGCTAGCATCCAATAACACACAGTTTAGCACCAATACTTGGTTAAAACAAACTACCAATAGTGTGTTAACACACTAAACAGATCATTCGTGTCCGTGTCTAGTTCCTTTCATAACGCAGCAATAATTAAACGTTGGCTAGCTAGCACAAGTATATTGTATTTAGCTACTACAGTACAGTTAGCTGGTCGTGTTGGCTAGCTAGCAATGGCTACTGTGTTGACTTTGTTAGAAGAACGGCTAGCTAGCTAGCTTCGTGCTACACCCGGCACCGCCGAAAAACAATGCTAACCTACAGTAACTACCCACAACAGCCCACGATGCCTAACTATGACGCCATAGCTAACTAGCATGCTAGCATCCAATAACACACAGTTTAGCACCAATACTTGGTTACAACAAACTACCAATAGTGTGTTAACACACTAAACAGATAATTCGTGTCCGTGTCTAGTTCCTTTCATAACGCAGCAAAAATTAAACGTTGGCTAGCTAGCACATTAACATTGGAAACAACTCTCCACTGTTGCTAAACGTTACCAGTAGCTACCCGCTAGCTAGCTAGCCTCGTGCTTCGCCGGGCTCCGCCGTAAACAATACTTACCTACAATAATTACCTACGGAAACCTACAATAACTACCTAAATAACTACCTAAATAAACTACCTACAATACCTAACTACAACTACCTACCTACGATCTAAATACATGGTTTAAGCTTTACTCAACACCATATAAGAAGCACAGCTTACCTCCTGCTAGAGAAAACACAACCTTGTTCCATGTGTCTCTCCTCAGGCCGGTGGTAGCTGGTCCACTCCAGGACTTTGAGATAGAGGAGACTCCACCGCCCCCGCTGGACATCGAGGGGGCTCCGGCGTACACTGTTCGGTCCATCCTGGATTCGAGACGCCGGATGGGGGAGCTCCAATATCTCGTGGAGTGGGAGGGGTACGGCCCGGAGGAGCGGTGCTGGGTGCCGAGGAGGGACATCTTAGACCCGTCTCTTCTGACCGAGTTCCATCGTTGTCATCCTACGCGCCCTGCTCCGCGTCCGCCTGGTCGTCCTCGAGGCCGGGGTTGGCGCACGGCTGGAGCCGCGCTTCAAGGGGAGGGTACTGTCACGGTTTCGGCCGAGGCTGCTCCTCCTCCTTGTTCGGGCAGGCTTCGGCGGTCGTCGTCTCCGGAGTACTAGCTGCCACCGTTCTATGTTTCGATGTTCGTTAGGTTTGGTCTGTTTGTACACCTGTTCTTTGTTAGTGTTGATTATGTGCCCTATAAGTTCTCTTAGGTTTTGTCAGGTGTTGTGTGTAATTGTTTCGTGTCTGCTAGGCGTCAGTTTGTTCTCTCTCGTTCTGTTTTTGTTTTGAGAGAGTGTCCGCACTGTGTGCGCAGTTTGGGTTACGCACTGTTCCCTGTGTGCGTATTGTTTCGCTTGCCCTCCGGCTGGGATTTTGCCGTGAGTCTTTTGTATTTGTTTGATCCTCACTAAAGACTGTTGAAGAGCCTCTGTAGTCCTGCGCTTGATTTCTGCACCACATCTACGCTCAGCCCTTGACACCGAGTTGCTGGATCCTGGCGTCCTGGCAGCTGACCCGATCCTCCAGCGACTCGGTCCCCGCCGCTGCTACTGCTGACTCCATAGTAATGGTGTGTTATTCTGTCACGTTGTTGATGTGGATGCGGTGGTGAAGTCAGGCGCAGGACACAGAGGATAAGTCAACACGACTTTACTGAGACTCATGAACAATACAAGGTAAATGGCCTCGAAAACACCGGAGGCGAACTAATACGCGCAATGCGTAAAATACTCTTACACACAAAAATACCGAACCTTGACAACAAACGACAGGCAGACAATAACACACAACTGCAAACAAAACCAAAGGAAACTTATAGGTGACATAATCAATACAGAAGACGAAACAGGTGCGACCAACTAGACAAGACCAAACAAACATCGAGAACATACAAGCGGTAGTAGCTAGTACTCCGGGGATGACGAACGCCGAAGCCTGCCCGAGCAAGGAGGAGGAGCAGCCTCGGCGGTATTCGTGAGAGTAAACAAATTTGTTCACAACATTTTAGAGAAATACGTTTTTTGAGCATATGGAAAATTTCGGGGATCTTTTATTTCAGCTCATGAAACATGGGACCAACACTTTACATGTTGCATTTGTATTCTTATTCAGTGTATAAGGTATTTATTCAGTGATTTTCTACTTTGCCTAATATGTATGTATTTATCCATTCACAACTAGGATGTTGCTGGGCCCGGTACAGGCAATGTGGTCCCCTGGTCTTCTGGTACCAGTGCCGTGAGAAAGGATGCTAGGCTTAGCAGAGACAGCTCAGGGACGAGTGCAGTGGAGGTAGGAAGAAAACAGAGAGAGACAGATGTACTGCCAGTTCCTTAATATGTAATAGTAATTAACACTAGGGTAGGGGGGAACACATATGACACAATAATCTTAATTATGTCTACATATAGACACACTTAACTGCAAATTAGGTCATAATGTGTGTTCCCTATGGTTGTCTAAGTGTATTTCTTCATTCACAACTAGGATGATGACAGTGAACAAGATACTGGTGATGCTAGGCTTAGCACAGACAGTGAACCAGACACTGATGATGCTAGGCCTAGCACAGACAGTGTGTGGGGGGGGGGGGGGGGGGCTGCATTTTTGTCCCAGTCCACCCCTGGTTGGAGAGCCCCGCAGTAGAAAAACAGAACAATATTGCTAGTTCCTCTCAAAATCCACCATCATGTGACCTTTCAATAGCAGATAACATTCAGCTAATGGGGAGGCCAACACAACATAATTACTAGGCTACTGGCAGGAAACTAACAAGCTAGGAAGTAAATAAAGGGCTCCCTGCTTAACTTCCTTCTCCTCGCACTGGACCAGTATGACATTAAACTGTCAATTAAGTCAGAAGGAAGCCTGAAAATAATAGATTTCCCAGGATGCAGATTATGAGATAGTGTTACAATCAAGTCCCTGGGGCATCATTAACATTTCATTTCCCGATGTATGTGTTGCGGAATCATTGCAGTAGGTTCAAACTCAATGAATCAGTGGTGTACGGGTTAAAACGGAGGGAGAGGAAAACAAAAGCAAGACTGCTACAGAGCTACAGGTATTTCACTTCAGACTACAGACTTGACTAACTTGATTTAAACCTCTTGGCCCCCTAGGTAGCATAGGGCGTCCACCATGGCTCTCCACCTCACTCTCCTCTGTGCAAGGGCTAGCTTCTCCAGTTATTTTCTGGCCGTCCCTGCTTTCTTTTTCCTTGTGCGTTGTAGTCCAGTGTGCGTTGTAGTCCAGTGTACGTCGCAGTCCAGTGTACATTGTAGTCCAGTGTACGTTGCAGTCCAGTGTACATTGTAGTCCAGTGTACGTTGTAGTCCAGTGTGCATTGTTGCCCAGTCAGCGCTGGATTACTGAACGAGCACGCAGGGCATGTGCCCCGGGGCCCCCAACTACAAGGACCCCCAACCAAATATTTTTGGGGGGTTGAGGGTCCCCTGGAGGTCGGGGGGCCCCCAGATAGCATATGATAGCAACATTTGCAGAATTACAGGAAATTAGCTTTAAAACTGCAAGGTTCTCTCTCAACCTCATGGCAAAATGTGTAGAATAGCATGAGATGAGCTATAAAACAGCAAATGTTTCTCTCTGACCCATGCCAAAAAGTGTAGAATTTCAGGAAATTAACTTAAAAATGCAACATATTCTCTTAGCCTCATGGCAAAATCTTAGAATAGCATTATAAAACTGCACATTTGTTCAACACAAAATGTGTTGAAATGCAGGAAGATAGATGTTTTCCCCCCCAAATAAATCTGGTGCCCTGGGGCTCCAAATGTTGTAGTCCGGCCCTGTGTCCAGTGTCTGCTGTAGTCCAGTGCTTGTCTTGTCTTGTGCTAAAGACAGTAAGGAGGATACAATGTTCTTAGTAGGGAAAACAAGTTGTGCACAGAGCTTGATGATCAGACACAAACTCAAACACAATAAACTTTGGCTCATAAATGAAGGTCAACTGTGTTTGGATAAGCAACCTTGATGACTGTATGATGTTCAAGCTTTTATGGCAATGAATACCCCATTCATAGATGCTTACTTCCTTTAGCGTCTATTAATGAAGGTATTTTCTGGCCGGGGGAGTTTTGTTAAGAGCCCCAATGCTAACACGCATCGCTTGCAGTACGGTTTTGGAAACATAAGGAACGTATCTTTCATATCAGCAAGAAAACAAAAGGTTAAATTACTACACACCTTTATAGGGTTATGCCTCGATCACACCGACGGCGTCATTGCGTTTTGGTACTGTATACCAGAAGTACATTCATTTCCAATGGAACTCTACATTTCCCTTGCGGCATTGCGTTGCAGAGGCAGTTGCAGTGCATTCTGTGTGGTGCGTACATTGGATTTATCAAATGTTTGCATCAAATTGTATGCATAGACTGCTTGACAGAAATGGTAATCGAGGAGTTAGGGTTCCCACACAGCCATAATTCCAAGTTAGAGCACTTGTTTACGCAAGACAGATGGAAGACGGACACGACTACCTGTGCTAATTAGCTATCTGCATCTCCGAACACCTGTGTGTAACAAAAGATGGCCGCCAGAAACGAAAAATGCTGTCAGCTGCAACTGTTTTAAAACTGGTAAAAACAGCTAACATTAAGTGTATATTTTGCATTTGTGAAATAAGTTTGATGTGATATGAAAGTAGAGGGCTTTGATTTTAGAAACGTACCGAGAATTGATTCATGATATAAGGAGTATTTGGCTGTTTTGGCTGCCTGAACATAATATGTAAGGTACTTGGACTAAAGGATTAGGCTCATTTTAGTATATTATTGGGCTAGGCAAGGTGTAAACCCAGGAAGCGAGAAATCAGTTTATTTAAATCATAGTGAGTGCATTAATTTTATTGCGAAACAAGAGTTGACCTCCTTGCGGAAAATGTGACCAAGGGATTTATACTTATAAGCCCACAAATAATGTCTCATTACATTTTTGGAGTATTATCACAGAGTTTCTAAACTTTTTTGTGTGCTGCTTAACCAATGGCTGTGCTTTGTAGGGCTATGGAGTCAGTTCAGGAGAAGAGTCAAAGGTTTATTCAAATTGTTGTTTATTTGGCCTTGCGTGCGGACTAGCCTATAGCCTATGTTCTGTTCCGTTTGAGAAGGAGAGCGCGAAGATGAGAAGGAGGACCGGAGTTCAACTTTGATAGCTTGCTACTACTATAATTGATTTGATTAAAAACAATATGTTTCTTGCCCATTATGTATTTATCAGAGTTATTGACAATAAGCCAGATTCGAGTAACTTAAATTGTGGTGCTTGAAGTAGCAGCCGCGGCACAATCAATCAGAAATGGACAGCTCATGGTGCTGAAAGTAGGCACATTCGAGTAGGCATAATTCATTTAAACCGTCTTCATTTTAATTAGACTGTACTAACAACAAGAGGGCTTTGTGTTGGAGCCTATTTCTTCTTATTTAAGAAATACAGTACATGAGAGGTAGGCCTACCTGTTTGACAGATGAAATTAGGCTATAGGCTGCTATATCCATAGATTTGTTGATCAATTCCTCCACCCACTATGCACTCTTTAAATAGCCTACCTCCGTGTCAGTGTAGGGCTTTTAAGTTAAAACCAAGACTCGAATTGAGGGGGTTTGAGAGGGTATGCCATAGTCCTACCTTTTATTAAAGAAAATTGAAAAAAGCACAGACCTACCCCTTGTTAGCTTAAGATTGGGAAGAAAACTAAACGGATCAGATTATATAAAGTCATCTATAACAGCATATTAATGCCAAAATAACATGCAAAACAGGCTCTGCCCCACCTGCCCTGAATGACTAGTCGCCACTGAGTATGACATGCTGGCTAGTTACTGTTTTTAAACATGTGTACAACTGCTAAATACTCTCCATTGCTGGCAAGTTAACTGTGTAACTACAATGAAGTTGTTTTCCTTCAGTTTGTGCATTTATGACAACTGTCCAGTGCTTACTTTGGTTGTTTTGTGTTTGTTCCCGCCACTCAGAGCTCCTCTCATCCACACAATTTATTATTTTCTTTAATGAGATCTCTCCTATTGAAAATGTAAACCGGTTTAAATGAGAAATGCCCAGGAATATTATGTTATTTTCAGCTGCGTTTACACAAGCAGCCCAATTCTGATCTGTTGCCCAATTATTGGCAAAAGGGCTGATCTGATTGGTTAAAAAGACCAATTAGTGAACAAAAGATCAGATCAGAATTGGGCTGCCTGTGTAAATGCAGCCTTATTTGCATATCTAATAGCTATCTGATCTTTCCCCTTATGTGTAGACAGCAACAACAAAAAGCACATGGAATCTGATCTTTTGACTTCGGTTTATACCACCTCCATATGGCTGCGTTTACACAGGCAGCCCAAATCTGATATTTTTTACACTAATTAGTATTTTGAGCAATCACATTAGATCTTTTTACATCAAATATTTTTCAGAGCTGATCTGACTGTTCAAAAGACCAATTAATGAAAAAAATATCAGAATTGGGCTGCCTGTGTAAACACAGCTTTAGTGGATCTGAATCCTGATACAAACCCGATCCTCCATATGCGACCTCTGTCTGGACATTCAGACTAGATTTTTTTCCTCTGAAGTGGTTTTATTGCACACAAACTCTCATTACCATGAGAACTACTCCAAAATGTAAAGAAACAGTGAAGGGAAATGAGCATTGCATCTGTAAGCTACTTCAGAGGATACATCAGTGTGAATGCGCAAATGTGATATGGTTAACATGTAAAACTATGTTTGGACAGTTAGAAAAAAATATCAGATATAGAAATTAAATCAGATTTGGGTTCTTAGGGTGGCTGTGTAAACATAGACATCTAGACATTTGGCCTTCAGCTTGTAAATAAGGTTTCAACCATTGTTTAGGTACACCCCTGCTTGTTGAGGCAATGGGTTTGCCCAGGACTCAAGGTATTTCGACCAAAGAGTAACTATTATATTGGAAAATAGTCTATATATTTCTAACAACAGAAATACATGTCCTCAAAGATGGAAGGCAGGCGGAAGGAGGCGAGAGGTGCAGTATCTTTGGCCTGGGCCCGACACGGTGATGGCGGCGAGTAGTGACAATGTGGCGCTGGAGGATATGGAGAGAAGGTTGGAGAAGCAACAGCTGCGCTGGAATGCAATCGATATGGTTGATAGTTCTGATGATATGGAGCAGGAGGTTGAGGGTCAAGGACCTGAATGGCCTGTAGTGGAAAGTAATAGGAAAAAGAGAGATCATGCTACTGAAAGCAGTGGCACTTCTCTATTGCAGAGAGCGTGAAGAGGGTGAAGGTAGGGAACAAGAGTAATGATGTGTCGGAGTGGACATTTCTGATGGTGTTTGAAGTGACCACAGGGCCGCATCTATACCCTATCCCATTAACCGATGACGTAAAGTAAGAGATGGGTGAAGTAAAGCTAGCCCAGTTCATTGGAAATGGTAGACTGCTAATATTCTGTGCTAGCCATGCTCAGCAGGGGAAGATTCTATAAATGGGAACTCTCAATGGGAAGAAGATCAAAAGCCATGACCCTGGAGCTTATGCTAAGTTGAGGGGAGTCATCTCTGGGGTCCCACTATCTATGTCCATAGAATGATTTTAAAGAAAGTGTGAAGAGAGGCGTAGTGATTGAGGCCAAAAGGTTCATCAGTAGGAAAGAGGGTCAAAGAAATGAAAGCGCACACAGTGCAGCATTTGGTGGGTGCCAGGTGCAGAGAGGGGCTAGAGAGGCCCAGAGATACAGTGGGGAAAAAAAGTATTTAGTCAGCCACCAATTGTGAAAGTTCTCCCACTTAAAAAGATGAGAGAGGCCTGTAATTTTCATCATAGGTACACGTTAACTATAACAGACAAAATGAGAAAGAAAATTCCAGAAAATCACATTGTAGGATTTTTTAATGAATTTATTTGCAAATGATGGTGGAAAATAAGTATTTGGTCAATAACAAAAGTTTCGCAATACTTTGTTATATACCCTTTGATGGCAATGACACAGGTCAAACGTTTTCTGTAAGTCTTCACAAGGTTTTCACACACTGTTGCTGGGCAACACGGACTTTCAACTCCCTCCAAAGATTTTCTATGGGGTTGAGATCTGGGGACTGGCTAGGCCACTCCAGGACCTTGAAATGCTTCTTATGAAGCCACTCCTTCGTTGCCCGGGCGGTGTGTTTGGGATCATTGTCATGCTGAAAGACCCAGCCACGTTTCATCTTCAATGGCCTTGCTGATGGAAGGAGGTTTTCACTCAAAATCTCACGATACATGGCC